ATTGTGATTAGACCTAATTGACATTCATTATGCGAACATATCGATTTCGTGTGGGTGAATTTGTTCACGTCAGAATCAATTCGAACCTTTAATAGAGACTTCAAGACGTAATGGGGAAAGGTCCACATCAAATTCAGTGGATATGTTATTCAGTAATTTGTTTTGAATTTATTAAAAAAAAATGATGGTTTTTAAATAAGTTCTTAATTGAATATGCGCAAAAACAAAGTTTCAAAGTTTATCTTTATTTTATAACATTCGTCTTAATTCATATGGTCAAATTTTATCACTCTCAGCATGGAACTTCGAATAAAGAAGAATGTTTCATTTAAAATCCGATTTATATTTTCTCCTTGGAATTTATCATATTATATTCAATAATAAATATGAAATGTAAATATTTAAATATTTAATAAAATAATAAATAAAATTATTAATAATTAATATAAAAATTTAATAATCTTTTGTCATTACTATTTGGTATTTCTAGTTAAAAGTATTAAATATAAGAGATCATGAAACAAGCAACTTATGTTGTTTCTTTAGTTAACGGGGATATATCTTTTTGTTTTTTAACAAATGAATTAGCCAAAGTAGAAATTTATAAGACCCACAGTTAAATGATAATTGCAATGTCATTTACAAGAGTATTTATTTGGACGATATATACGTAAATGATGAAATCAATCGTATGCTTTGTAATGATAATGTAAAATTTATTGATACCTTGTTTTAATAGATATAATGGAATTTGAATCTCATAAAAAATTTGATTTGTCAGGATGTTTCGTGTAACATTCCTTTGAAAACCAAATGTGGAGAAAGGTTCAAACAACTTATCAGAATCATGAATGTAAATGGAATTTAAAGTACAATCATAGAATAAATAAAAGTTTAATAACAATTACATCTTGACAAATTGGTGAGTTACAAAATGTCATATTGTCAGAAATCATGCCGCATGTTGCGTAACATTTGAAATTTTCGGAAAAAAAAAATTTTTTTTCAAATAGTAATAATATCAATGTAGTGTAATATTGAAATATATTTCAAACGGAAATTTGATTTTAAGGTAGCGAAAAAACACAATCTGCTATTATTGCGTAAAAATCAATTTTAATAATTACATAATCTTGGTGTAATATGCAATGGAAAATCATATCTTCGTCTTAGATGCATCAAATCGTTTTAACCAAATTCAAATTGGTTGAATTTTAGTACATCACTTCAAAACTAATACTTTCATTTTGGTTTTGAAATGGTTTGTAAAAGGCTGTTCCTTTATCGTTTCGTTCATCCAAACTAACCATTCTTTCCAAATTTTTTTGATTTATAATATTTAGATTATGAGAATAGTCAGGTGTGACAAGGTTTTGAGTTGACTGTTTGATTTTTAGATTTCCATGATGTATATAATAATGTATGCCAGCCAAAGAAATGTTACACGATTGACGACTAAATATGTGAACAATCTAATAAAAAATTTTGTTAATTGTTTGCAAATGAATTATCTTGTATTTACAAAAGGAAGGCTTTAGTTTAATATAAAAAAAGTAAATCTTTAGTGTAATCTTTATTGTTTAAAGGAATTTACTTTAACCGAAAATTATAAATTTAAATTATTAACAAAGGATATCGATATATCGAGATTCACATGGTTCACGTGATTCTACGTTCTGGAATTTTAAAATTTCGCTTTTTTAACATTCATAGAATAAGTTAGGAATTATATTTTTTTTTTTTAAAAAAAAGAGATATTAAGACTAATCGCATTGATCACTGATAATAAAATTTTCTTGGTACATATTATTTTGCATAATAAATATTATATATTTTTAATCAAATTTTAAATAGCATAACTAATTATATTCTTATAAATTCTTAGCAATTTAATTAATAATACTAAAAAAAAATAGTATAATATGGTCTATGCAAAAATGTAGATACATCAATATATTTATAGTAAAAAAAATAAATTATTAAATTTAATATAAACATTTAAATATTTTTATTTATTATATAGGTTAAGAAATATTTTTAATATAAATTTTTATTAAAATATAAAATTTCTATAAAAAATTTTATTAATTATTAATTTCTTTAATGTCAGAATCTTTATATTTACTTTTAACCAATAATATATTATCATTTGATTCTTTATATTCTATGGTTTTGTCAAATGCTCTTTTCCAAAATCCAACAATAACTTAGTGATAACCTTTTCATTAAAGGCATACAACAATTTGTTTTTAATAAAAGATTTAAGTAAGAATTGGACCTGATAATCTCACCTTTATTAGTTGACCAAATTCCTTCGATTGGTTGAAATTCATAATGATAAGGTAGAGCATAAAATAATTGTAATCATATTTTCTAGATATATTAATATAGATAAAGGTACATTTTATATATTTTCTTTATTTTGATTTACTAATTTATATAATTTTGCTTTACTATAATTTTCTGAAATTTTAACAGCTAAAATTAACCAAATAATTAATGCATTCTTTTTTAATTTGATAATAGCATATATTTAATTTGATATTTGTAATAATAAGCATTGTATATATGAATATTTGCTAGCTCATAACATTCTTTAATATTAGTTTATCAAAAAGATCTTTAGGAAAAGACCAGAAATCACATAATTTTAAAAGAAGAGAGGGGTATTTAATTCATAATAATATTTCACAAATTTTATATAAGTTAATTATATATTTCTTAAATATATGATGACAAGTCAAAATTTTTAAAACTTTAATCATGTAATTTTTAGCTTTTCTCTTAAAGATTTCAGCTATAAAATTTTATGATAGTCAACTTAGTCTGCTACAATTAAAGATAGTGTTACAATTAGCAAAAAATATTGCAATTGTATTGCAACTCATTTCACAATTAATTTATTAATATTGCAATTAAGTTGCAACTCAAATGAAATTTAAAAACAATTATAAAAACTATTTTTAGCTGCAATATTAGCATTTTAAATAAATTTTAGAAATTTTATCCTAACCATTCTAACCATCAGCATTTGCTTATTTTCTTTTTTTTAATTAAAGTGATTTATTAATGAAACTCATATAAAAAAAGAATTAGAAACAATTTCATCATAAAATTTATTAGTATTACCATTATATATTATAATTATTTTTCAATTAAGAGACTTCACCCTTGTGAATATACTACCATATGATTTAGTACTCAAATACAATTTATAGTATAATACAAATAATAATATAATTTATCTAAAAAGCTTTTAGTCTAGTCGAACTTTATTATTTTTTCTATAAGTTTTTAAACTGATATTATAAATAATGATTATAAAAGGTAATATTTGTTAGTATTTATGCAATATTTACCACAATTATAATATATAAAGTAAATAAAATAACTGTTATTTTAATAATTTATGACTATTTTCTTCAAGTTTTTATCATAATGTTTGTATCAAAAATGAATATTAGAAGTATTTGCAACTATAATAAAACTTCATAAAAATTTAGAAATATTATAGTTAAGCTTATTTTTTAGTTAACAAAGGGATTTTTGTATTTAAAATTCTCTTTTATTTAGCAACTACATACATAATTATAGCCTTTTTAATATCAAGAACTATAATAATCTCCTTACATAATGATATATCAAGATATTGTTTCTAATATTATCAAATATTCAAAAATATTAATAAACATTAAAAATTATTTTTCATTTATTATTAGTTAATAGACTTTTATTTCTTGTCAAGTCATTTATAAGAAAAAAGGTTTAGATTTAATTAAACTTCAACATAAATTAATATTTTATTATTTATATAATTAATGATAACATAATTATTAGATTTTATATCAGTTGAGAAAATCAAATAATGATTTTCATATCTATCTTTTTATATTAGATTATAATATTAATTTTATATTATATTAAATTTTATTCTTTAATAGAATTTTAAATATTAAAAATTTTTTAATCAATTTAATAATTTAATAATCTTAATTTTATTTAAATTAGAATAAAGTTCTATAAAAACCTATTTTTATTTTTTGAACTAATAATTAAAATTTTAAAAAACATTATAATAATTAAAAATAAAATAAATTCTAAATCTATTTATAGTTAAAATTATATATAATTACTATTTTTTATCTTTATTATTTATTTTATTATATTGTTTATAATATATGTAATCATACTTATTATATTTATAGAACATAATAATTTTTAGAATATTAGAAATCAGAATAAATTTAATTTATATATATTAAACCTATATTAATATTATCTGAATTATTATTTTTAAATTTAATTTATATAAATTGCTTTTTTATTTATTTTATAACTTTCAGTATAATTAGATAAATTCAAAAAAAAATAAAAAAAATTGTTCCATTATAATTATCTAAATAAATTCACAAATTTTCAATTCTCACATAAGGTATAATAATCCTTGATAAAAGAGTTTCTTTTTTACTGACCAATCGAAATAGTTAAAAAAGCCACATGACTTATTTTTATTTTCCTAGAAACAAATCATTAAATTAACAATCATATCCTATTTTGTATTTTTATTCGTGCTTGGAAGAATTACTATAGAGTTATCTCGTCAAAAAAAAAGAAAATACTAACTTTAAATCATCTTTTAGCTATCTATTTTCTATTTACTGCACTATTTGCAGATGAAATTTTCGTTGTAAGTAATAGAAGAAATATACGGTTATGATGTTCACATGAAAATCTTTTTATCATTGAGGAAAGCAATAATTTGCAAATAAACCTGTCACAAAGCTTCCTCTCGTTGAAATGCACTACGTTTTTAATTTTGGAATAGATTCATTGTTTAATATAAAATTTCTAAAAACGTATAATACCAATTAATATAAATTAATATACATTTATAAAGAATTTAGGTAAAATTTAGTCCTTTATTTTAATATTTAAATAAATAAATATGATAACTTTAAAATCCGTTGATTTAAAAATATAAATATATATATATATCGATTTTAAGTTTGAACAATATCAGCATCTTTGGGGTTCGGAAGATCTTTAAAAGTTAAAAGTCTGCTCGTATAAACGGCTTGAGGATGAACTTTAATCTCTTTAATATCAGTAAATGATGAGCTATTAAGTTTATACGCTTCTAAAACTTGCCTGTATGCTAATGAACTTTGAACGAAGAATGCATCAAATCCAAATTGATATAATAAAGTGTACAATTCATTAGCATTAGGACGATTTGAAGGATCCGCATCCCAACATCCTTGAATAATATCTAAAATCAGAGGCGGAACTTTACAATTAAAACAATTAAAACTTGGTCTCAATCCTTGACAGATTCTCGAAGCTAAGGATTCATCATGCGCCACATCATAATAAGGAGGTAATTTGGTCATTATTTCATATGCTATCATTCCGAATGCGTAGATATCGGCCGCTTGCGTGTATTCATTACCTACTAAAACTTCGGGGGCCACATAAGGTAACACACCGTATACTTGAACTTGGCCATCCTGTGTAGTATTTGGATTTGTCGGTTGACTGTATCCCAAGTCTGTGATAGAAACGATATAAAATGCATGATCCAATTCTATTGATAAGCTACCACAATGAAAATTACGATGAATCGATCCATCATTATGAATATCCTTAAGACCTCTTGCAATATCTCTTAAAAGTCTCAACCTATCATTATTGTTTGAATTTTTTACACAACCTCTAAAGTTGATGATATGCTTAAGTTCCAGAACCATCATAAAGTTACCGGTTTTTGGATCTTTAGTAATACCATATAATCGTGCTGAATTAGGCGAACCATTCATTGCAATACGTGATTCAACCTTGAAAATGTAAACAATTGGTTAGCATGTCATTGACTCATATAAAGAAAATAATAAATAATAATAATCATAAATCACCTCTCTCACGAATTCAAGCATGTTATCTGGTTCGCCATGTAAACATTTTAAAATAACGCGGCCTGGGTTATACCTTTTCCACCTGTTTTGAATATTATCCCATTCTAACATACATAGATCACCGTACCAACTTGCGGTGTAGGTGATTCCGAATTTGTCTTTGGTTAGAGTTTTAACATCTTCAAATTTATATTTGTACCACTCTATTACTTCTTTGTAATTCATTGCTTCGAGTTGTGTTTTTTGAATAAGCTGATCAATACGATGATCTTCGCTAGTCCAATTCTTAAAATCTTGTTCGAAACGTGTAGCATTGCATGACTGACACCAATAAACGTAACCAAAATCACTTGTATCGCAGCTAGTATTGGGCTGATAACATTCTCTACATAAACCATATGTTTTATATCGCGTTTTTAAATTATCATTTAAAATCAGTTTATCAATTAACAAGTTATTCTCATCACTCAAACCCCATGGAATTATATCTTTTATTTGTTCAATTACTTCTTCACTGAATTTACTTTCCTCCATATTTGAAGGTGAATGATAGTGTGTTTTTTTAGATACCATGATAATCATTTATTAAAATTTTTATATATCGGAAGTCGATTAAAAAGATCATTAATCTGGTGAATGTGCATCACCTGATGCATTTTGCAGTTTGTTCTTTCCTAATTGATAAATACTTTCGTACCTATCCCCGATTTAATCATATATCTGATATTAAAAATTGATGGATAAGTAGTTGATACTTGATGGGCGCTTTTCACAAGCCTCCCATGTAAGATTTTTTGTTGATAAAAAATATATTAGTTTTTGATAACGCACGAATGGTGAATCACGTAATATTCTTCATCTAAAGTTCTTTTTCTCTCGTGTTTATTTTTGTACTAGTTTTATTTTTAATTTCCTTATTAAATTTATTCTATTGTACATGAAAAATCAGGTTTTAAATTTATGATATTACTAAATCTTATATCAATCTAAAATCTCAAAAACTAGGGTTACACGAACCCATACTTTTTTAAAAAACGAATTGTTTTAAAAAAATAAATAGATTAAATAAATAAAATAAAATAAAATAAAACGTAATGTTTCCGGAATTTGAAAGGTATTATTCCAGCATACTATTCGAAGAGATTTCAAGTTGTGAAATGAATAATATATTAGTAATAACTATGCTATTAATGATATATACTATACCTCTTTGTAAATACGTTTCTTTATCTTTACGTTTTATGACTGCAAATTCATGAATTCATGAAGCCTTTTACAGATTAGAGACCACTTTCAAAAAGTCAAAGTCAATGAAGGCTTCGGTAAGCGCAATTCAGAGCAAGAGTCATTCGATTTATTATTGCCTATGAAATGCCGCTTGAATCACGCATTACTAGCCGAGCGTAGCTTTGTAATCAATCCACCTTTTGGCCTTACTATATAACAGAATGGTTCTCGGCAGTACATACCTGCCTGCAGTAAACAGAGACAGCTAAGGTAATGATCATGCTTTTGTTTTCTGTAAAAACATATTTGATAGGGCGTGACTCCAACGTCACGTTTTGATTGTAAAACTGATTCAATTTACTCAAATATCTTTTGTTACCCCCAATATTACCCATTTTCATTCTTTATATCATCCTCCACTTGTACCCTCATCATCTTATTCAACATTCTCTCCCTCATTAAAACAATAAAATCTTCATTTGAAAAAATAATTGGCTCATTGTACAAATATGTTTCTTGATGTTGATGTTGATTTTGGTTTTTATATTGCGCATGTTTGAATTGGTAAAAATTGCTGTGCATTTTGTTTATCATCACTGCTCGTTGTCGTTTGATTGCAAGACAATCCTTCATATACATATAAATACTTTACAGAATACACTTGAAAAACGATAATTGTGATTTTATTATTTAAATTCGAATAAACAATTAGAACAGTAAGTTTTCCATGTATCTCGGCATCATCAATTTCGCTTGATTCATTATCGCCACATTGTTGTTTTGTTCAGCAAGAATGTGTCATATTTATTTTATTCGTAATCGTTTTTTTCGATAGCCTCTCACTGGTTGTAATGATTAGGTAATTAAATACGGGATCCAATATATTCTAACGATACCCGTTTTATATTAAGAATTATCGTATTGTTTTCTAGAACAAAATTCGGGCACGTTTCTATTCTCCTTTTCTGAAAAAAGGAATTGATACTTTAATATCTAAGAACTTTTATTAACTATGTGAAAGATAATTTATTATATAATTATCTTCATATTTCTTACAATCCTATTAGATACTAAGTATCAGATTAAACCAATTGCATTTGATTAACGAGAAACATTTTTGATGAAAAATATTTAAAGCACTTTTGATCTTTTTGTCTCCATTAAATCTTTCCGCGTCCACCAATTTAAACAATAACCCAGCATTAATAATTCACCCCACAAGAATCAAGAATTGAGAACGAACTGATAAAAACTATCTTTAACTATCATATGCACTTTAGATATCGTCTTCAAGCCTTGATTACCAAAGATTGAAGTCAATCACACAATATCAGATATTATTATCGTTATTAAATGGGTTAGCTGTAAATTACGATTTTGATTTTTTAATTCATAAATAGAAAATTAAATAAGTATTTAAAAAAAACTTATCTCAATATCTCAATGGAGTATTATCAACAGATTTTTATGGACAAATAGGACAAATAGGAATCAGATATTACTGTTTTTTTTCTCTTTCCTCTTAGAAAAGCTATTTATATTCTAGTATTCTATTTTTTTTCTTTTTTGCTTAAGTTTTTGGCTTACTCTTTGGTACGCGCAAGATTTTTTAATTTTTTTGTAAACACCATGGACTAATTCTTTAAACAACATTATTGTTTTTATTTAAGACTGACCTAATGCAAAAGGTTAAAAGATATAATAAAAGTGATTTCACTTGGAAACGTCTCGTCATTACAAAAATTGATTGGTCATCAAACGATAGTTTTTTGTGACCGTCATAATTTTGATGATAAACCGATCTGAGCGTCGGTTCCAGAGTTCTATTTTTAATATTTGTTAAAAGTAGTTCCAAACTCAGAAGATTCAGAATCTGCTAAATTTAGAATCGGTTTCAGAACCGACTTGAGTCGACTCATTTTGAGCCGATACCATTCCTAATTATACTATGACAAACATTTCCTTTTTAAGATTTTCTTACTAAATGTTCAGTTACTTCAAAGCATAAGATTTAAGCTCTTTTCCATTCTTACAATTTAGATATACAGTAGTAAAGAAGGAAATTAAAGTAAATAAAAAGTAAGAATGGCTGATATTATTGTCAGGTTAAAATTTTTCTTGACAGAAAACAATAATGATTCTTTAAAAATATATTAGAAGGAAATAGAAATATATATTTGGTATTATGTTTGAATTATTAGATGACTTATTAGAGAGAATTGTCTTATTTGACTAAAGTTCCTTATACTGCTAAGGATTTTCTATAAAAATAGTCTACTAACTAATATGTTAAAAGCTTCTTGCTTTATTTATATCTTTTTGGCTTGCTTTGTTTAGTTTTCTTTGAGTCTCTTTATAACTTTCTGAGTCATTTATGCAGCTTAAACAGTTTTTAAAGTCAGCTTTTTTTTAAAAAGAATTTTTAATATATCAATATATAAGTTTATCATAATTTAGAAGATATATGAAAAAAACAGAAGTAAAAAGGATTTTATTTTTCAATTTATATTTAAGTCTTCTAAGAAATTTGATTAAAAACAAAATTGTGAATTCTAAGAATATTTATTTGTTAAAATTAACTTTGTTTAGTTTTATAGTAGCAAAACTTAGTTTTGTTACTATCTTATCATCTTGATTATTTTAATCATCTCAATTTATATTTTATTAAAAAAATGAAAAAAATAAACATGAGTTATGAACAAGGGTTTTGAAAATTACGATTAGTTAATAATATATGTAATTATATCTATAAAATTCAATTTTTATCTTATATAAGAAATATCAATAAATCAAATATGATTTATAATATAATTTACTAGCAATGCTTCTATATAGTGAACAATATATTAAATTTAATATATATTAAAATTTAAATAGAGAAAAACTAACTAATTTAGTATTCAAAATTCATTTTTTGCTTATTTAATTGATTTTGACAATATATATCAAGTTTTATATAAAATTTTTAATAATAAAATATTAAGAGTAATAAATAAATATGCAAATAATAGAGAAATAGAAATATAAAAGATTTGAATTTAAAGGATAGAATAGTTTAATAACCTAACAATATCAAATTAAAGATAATGTAGCAATTACTGTATAGTCCTAATAATAAGCATCATTTTTTGCTATATAAATGCTTATTTTCAGATAAATTTAAATTGGCTTTGCGAAATATACTGCCTTGCAATAATGATTGATGATCAATGTAATTGCGATTATTATGCAAATATGAAAATCATAGAATTACACAATTTACGTGATTTATATAAAATTTATGTTGTTCTTTTTCATACTTATTCTAGTTACCGTACACAAATATAAACAATGTCACAAAAATGTAAACGGGTTGGTAAAAGATGTAAAAGTAAAGCAAAAGTTTTCAAACATACTCAAAAACTCTATTTAACTGAAAGCTTATAAAAAGGTTCATTTCCCTCAAACTATTTTTAATCAAACTTTTCAATATTTCTCACAAACAGCATTTCAAATCTCTTTTGACAAAAAAATTTTCACACTTTCTCACAAACAATATTTCATTTATCTTTTGCTAAAAATAATATTTTGTCTCTCTTTCACATATATCATTTTCTCACTTTTATTATAAATAATATTTCGTTTCTCTTTCGCATACATCATTTTCTCACTTTTTTCACAAATAATATTTCGTCTTTCTCGTTTTCTCATTTTTATCAAATAATATTTCATCACAAATATGACTAGAAATATGGGTCAAGAAAAAGTGCAACAGTATGTCGTCAACCACCATGCTGCCAGAAAGTGACGCATCAACAAGAAACTCAGGGAGTAACAGAAACTCCTAATAGTCAAGAAACAGCAGATACTTTACATTGGCAGGTTCTGATAAAAACTTTGATATCTTCAAGTAGTCAAGAAACACGTCAACAGGTTCTGATAACATCTTTAATGTCGCTTAGTAGCCAAGAAACATGTGAGCAGGTTCTGACAACAACTTCAACACCTCTTAATAGTCAAGAAACACCATATCGACAAGTTTCAGTACTAAATCTAAGTAGTCAAAAAACACCAAATTGGCAGGTACTGACAACTAAAAGTCAATTAGAAATACCAAAATTTTTACGTCGGCAGGATCTGGCAAATGAAGGACTTTTCAAATTATTAGTGCTATCAAATATTTTCAAAGAAACTTGACTCAATCTCCAACTCGACCAGGTGAAGATTATGATATTTCGCTTAATTACAGGATCAAAAATGAACATCAACATGGCGAAACCTTAACCGCTGGTATAGTTAGAGGTGCTATTCTGGAAGTTATTAACTGGAATCTGCAGGTATTATTAGCTTCCATTAGAGAATAACTGAAAGGTCTTCAACATGTCAGCAAATAGATGCCAAAAGACGTCATGATGAAAGTAGTAGCAAAAGAAATATAACTTCTTATCATCGACAATTTGAAATTTCTCGAAGTGACAAATTTTGATATACTCCATATCAATACACACGAGATCGCAGATTAAGATGTGATAAAAAGAGAGTAACTTCTTATCGACCAAGAAGGAGGGAAGCATTTTCTGGAATAACTGATTCTTTGCTGAGCGAAGGTAAGTATAATTTATTGCAAAAATTTAGCTGAGATATATTTTTTAATCAATTTATTGTTAACTTTTCTATGAAAAAGCATATTTACGTGAAAGAATCGATGAACTGAGCAGGTAACTCAGCAATGCAAATGAAGATTAAGACATTTAAGAACAGAATTCAGTAAAGTTACTGGAGATAAAGAAGCATTTATTCGTGAAAATGAGAGTTTGCAGGATGAACTTAGACAAGATTGACAAAGACGTAGAGATAAAGAATCAGATAATAATCATTGAGGAAAGTAAACTTGATATAGTAGCGATGAAAGTGATGAAGAGGGGTCTTACAACAATAACGTGACCAGAGTTCGTTTAAAATCTCTTCTGAATTCTAATTAAAATAACTTTAATTCTAACTGAATTTTAATCAAATATAACTGATATCAATCAAATTAACTTAAATCAGCTTTATTTTTTTATAATTTAAATTGAAATGAGAACAATTTTAAAAATACTGCCGAACTATCTCGAAATAAAATACAATCTTAAATTTGGCAGTGAAGAAAATACTGAAATATAATGACAAGTAATACCGCATCTCGTCAAAGCCTTAAAAAGATTCAAAATAATATACAAATAAATTAGAGATTGGCTTGGCTCACTTCACAGGCATCAACGAATTCAGTTATTATATAAAAAATACGGTACTTTAGATCGTGATAATCAGCAATTACACAAAAATAATCATACTAGTGAGGTAGGTAAATATAATCGAAATTGATTTTTTTTAAGAAAAATGAACTTCAATTAATATTCGATATTTTAATATAGAAAAAGGCCAAAAGGATTAAAGGTACCAATTTGTTTTTTGAT